TATTGGGGTGACCGTGGCTGGGCCACCCCCATACCCAATGAAGGTTCTCCAAATGAAGGAGAGCAATGGCTGGGCAGGGCTGAAAGGGGGTCAATGACTGCAGAGGGCTTGGCTGCATGGAGGTGTTGAGACAGTCCGCACCGGTCGCGGGGTGCTGCTGGCTGTATTTTGGGGGCTCAGCTGCATTCGGGTACTATGGTGGGTTGATACCAACAGCGATGGGTTGGTTGTCTTGGAGCAGAAGGTCACGTCTGGAGTTGATGCAAGGATGCAGGCTATCCCGGCATGTATCGGGAGCGTGGGCGAACGGGGGCAGCCAAAAATGTGCAACATATGTGTGATGGGAACAATCTGCAAATGCAGCGGGGAGGCCATTCGGGTACTATGGTGGGTTGATACCAACAGCGATGGGTTGGTTGTCTTGGAGCAGAAGGTCACGTCTGGAGTTGATGCAAGGATGCAGGCTATCCCGGCATGTATCGGGAGCGTGGGCGAACGGGGGCAGCCAAAAATGTGCAACATATGTGTGATGGGAACAATCTGCAAATGCAGCGGGGAGGCTTTTTTGTGTCCAGGGGAATATGGGGTGCTTTGCATTAGAGGGGGCTGGTGTGGGAAAAGACGTAAGAAGGGATGTAGATTTGGGGAAAAAAAGGCTGTTCCTAGCCTGGCTTGTCTGCCTAGACAGGTTGTTATCTGGGAGACTTGAGCTGTAGTGGGGTGTTGAGCTGTGTGCGAGTACTGATACATGGGGATTTATTGGTTAGTTGTTTTGAGGGTTGTATGCGGTGGTCGGTGTGTGGGGAGAAAGGGGGAGCTAGAGACGGTGAAGCGGGTCTCGGGAGGGAGAGGCTTGCTCCTTCGCCGGCACTGTGGAAGGGAGTTTTGTGGTTTTGAGATGTGTGGGTGTTACATGTTCTTTACGATGCTGCCCGATTAGGGTGGTTTGGGCTCTAATCATTTACAGTCTGATTGTCGTAGCACGCCGTAGATGTTTGAGATTTCCTATGTGATGCTGAGATTTCTGGGTGAGGAGAGGAGATTGCAGGGGTTTGCTGTGCGAACTGTATAATAGTGACTAGGAGAGATGGGGAAGGGAGGAAGACTTGAGAGGGAGCGTAAACAGAAATCCCTTGTCATCCCCCGAGCTCCCCAGTAGCCCTGGCAGGCAGCTGCAGTGAAGATACCTCCTTGGCTCATTCCTGCCTCTCGACCTCTTGTTTTGCGGCTGGACTCTGCTTTTGTTAAACAGTTCTTATTTCTATTTTAGTTTGCGTTTGGCGGCTTATTTATATTACATGTGTGTCATTCTTTGCCTATATTATTTCATTTGAGATTATTTCCATTACGCGGGTCATCTTGTGTGGGTTTGTTTATTTTGAGTAGGGGGTTTTTCATACACAGATAAAAATGAAAATGCTGAAAGTTCATGTTAAAAATAGGCACTTTTTCTGCTTGAAGTCGGGGCATACATGTGGTGGTGTTTTTTTTGGTATCGTGAAAAACTTATCTTTATATAATGTTGTGATTAAAGGGTGCTTGTTGCTGGGGGATTGTTTTCAGAGTTAAAATCGAGGAGGCTTTTGCTAGCTGGTGAGATCTAGATTTTTTTTTTTTTTGCCTGGCTAGTGAAGAAGAGGGAGATCTGTGTCTTACTCCTCTCTGAATTTTTCATCTCTCTTCCCCCATTACAGTAACTGTTCGGCATTTCTGTCCTCATGAATGCATAATGTCTTCAGATATGCTGGTGATCATTTTTTTTAGGCCGATACATGGATTCCCTGTCATCACTAGAGGGCTTAAATGCCAGGACCTCTTGTTTTATAAAAACAAGAACAAAACAAGCCCAAGGTTCCCTTCCAAAATCAAATCATTCCTGATACCTGTGCCTATGGTGCTACCTGCCAGTTATCAAGTAGGTTCCCCAAGTATTGAAATTTTAGCTTCATGATCACAAGGTTCAAAAGAAAATTACACCAATACTAAAAACCGTTAAGGCCAACCTTCTGAAGCCTTTTATAGAGGGCTCTTTTGATCTGGTGGACAATCAAAAAACAACTTGATGTTTAAGCTATCTTTAGATGATAGCAATTGTAGGACAGTTTAATAAATTTCAAAATTACAGTTTAATAAATTTCAAAATTGTGTGACTTGCACTGAAGTGCTAAATGTATACCCTAAAATATTCCCCCCCCCCCTGTGGCCTGCTTTTTCTTTTTTGGTAGGCAAAACTCTTCCGTTGCACGCAAGCTACCCTCCCAGGTTTTGGAATAAAATGGCACTTTCATTAATGGTTGGGCATAAGCATGAGATTCTTGCCATGTGCAGTGTAAGCCTACTGGGGTGACAGCACTCCCTGAAATCAGCCTTTATGAATGTTGTGTAGGGTTAAACTGCACTCTTAACGCTGTGTTCGAATTTTCCACTGAAATGTGCAATTTCAAAATAGATGAAGGACATGAATTGTGTTTTCTGTTGTTGAAATTTGACTTAAACTCTACAGAAAATATATGTGGTCTGTGGTTTTTTTGTAGGTGAAAGTTACACAAGAGCTAAAAAACATTCAGGTTGAGCAGATGACAAAACTTCAGGCCAAGCATCAGGCAGAATGTGAGCTACTTGAAGATATCAGGTAAGGTTACAGAAAATGCTACCAAAATTCCTTTAAGATCCAGTTTTTGGAAGAACATTTGAGCTACAAAACTTCAGGAACTGACGATGGAATTTCCTCTTTGGATTTCCTGCTTTTAGGCTGTTAAAGTTTTGACACAGCTGGAAATTATAACTGGAGCTAACACAATGCAAACCATTTTTTCTTCTCTTCAATGGGGGAAATGTTAAAAAAAAGTCACAAACAACATACCAAAAGCACTGGTCTTTTCAGCAATATTTCTCTATATAATAGACTAAGCCTTTGATTTATCAGTTGTCAGAGGCTGCTAAAATTATTAAAATATTTTAAAACCACTGATGATTTACATCTCGCTAGAGATAGCTTTGAACAGCACTTTTCAATACATTGTATTTTTTACCAGAAACTTATAAATGTAAATATCTTCTTAGAATTTAAAACTCCGCACAGGTTAAGCTCAGTAGGGAAAATCGACATGACATCAATTGTGGGGGTTTTATTATTCATTTTACCTAATGTGATCGCTTCTCTTGAAGTTAAAAGTTTGCTTTTAACAAAATACGGTGGGAGTGGATACCTGGCATTATAAGGAGGATTAATCATTCCATTTGGAGAGGATCAATTTCTAGGATGGTTCTTCTGTAAAATACTCAGCAGTAAGTCCACTGCTGTCCTGCTCTTTTTGGCAGTGTATAGTCCACCTGTTAATTGTTTAAATGAGATTTCTTGCTTTATATTTATATATAAAATACAAATGTGTTAACTTTGACAGATGGCGTACTGTTTGTCTCACTCTCACAGTGTCCTCTTTTCATAAATCAGAATGTCGAGGCTTGAGCCTTCTCTCCCCTGTTTTTCTTCTGTGGGTGTTGAAACACTTTTTTGTGGGGGAAAGATCACAGCATTCATTTCCTTAGATTAAAATTAGTGGCTGTGCAGTGTTTAACTAGCAAATGCTGAGCAGTAAGTAACGGGCTGATCCAAGGAATTTTTTCTCGCTAGATAAAACTTATTTTTAGAACATCTAGGCCAGGTACTGCTGCTCTAGTCCAGGTTTTGTTAGCATTTCCTATTTTTCAGGAGTTTATAATCACTTCAGTCTGTATTCTGTGGATACAAAACCAGGAAAACACGTGAAAATGCCAACTTAAAATGTTTTTCTTCAATGTAATTTAATTTCTACAGTTAATTTAATTTGTAAATTTTAATGTTATGGATCAAGAAACTGGGTTAATATATTTAATTCAGTAATGGTCACTAAACGTACGTAGTCTCTGTTCAGCATTCTTGTTGCAAGCAATCTGCGTTTGCAGAATCACTGCGTGGATTTACAGATTAAACATTCTTTAAACACGGAATGATGTGATAGGATATGACAGCTCCATCGTGTCAATGATTTGTTCAAATATCAGATAACAGAGTAAGAGGGAACAAGAGAATTTTTGCTTAAAAACATTTGCTGAAAAAAACCCAATCTTGGTTTGTGATGCAGAGGCCCTTTAATCGCGTCTAGCTGTGAAGGAGAATCTGGTACCAAGCTTTGAAGACTTGGTACTCTGGCTACTGCGTCGGTCAGCGTGTGACACTCATGTGAGAAGTTGGGTGTCAACCTCGTCATCCCATTAGTTGTGTATTTATGACTGTATTCAGGATATGCAGCCACCGTGATTCCGGAGTGTTCCAGAAAGCAATGCTCACTGGAACCACACACAGGATCTTTTTGTCTCTGGATTATTTTTATAGAAAGCACCCTGCTGTTATCCAAAAGTATTAAATTTTAACTGAATGCTGTTTGTTTATCAAGACCTGAGAGAGTTCGGGTCCTTCCCGTAGCACTGTTGAAGCTTTCAGGCACTGCAAGAGTACAACTTTGTACTCTTGTATTATGCTGCTCTGAATTCTACAAACTTAACTGCTGCGGTGGCAACAAGACATTCTGAACGTGTGGCTTGCAAGCTAGTGATTAAGAATGCTTTTTTAAAAATGTTAAATTATTACAGATAATTACTGTATTTGTTAGCATATAAATGCAAGCATTCAAATCACATATGCAATACTTATAAACCATAGTATTTGTATAGGATTTAAACCTCTTAATTGTATTTTTTCTATCACTTCAGTTTTGTATACAACTAAAAAGAAGTGATAAAAGGAAAAGATCAGAAGGTTCTCTTACGAGTTCTAGCAGAATACATCTATTGTCTGGTATATTAGCAGATGATTTTTGGCAGCCTACCAGGTCATAAGCATACTTGCCATTCCAATAGCTTTGATATCTTTATGCAAAACTGAGCACTGCTTTAAATGTTTGTAGTTTGAAGGCTTAAACTATGTCATTTGGAGAGGAGGAAGACTGAACGACTGTTTATTCCAAACGGGATTCTTCTTGGTCAGGGTTGAGGCATATAGGTGTAACTACCGTTTCCCCAGCCCCTCTGCAGATCCTTAATCTCCTTGAGGGCTGTACATAAACAAACCCACCATGTTTATTTAAATCTAAAATACGTCGTCTTTTTGAGTGATGATAGTGTTTTGTATGCAAGGATGTAGATTCAGGTCCTGCAGGCTGGGAAGAAAAGGCAGCATTTTTTGCTTGTGAAAAGCATACCCAGGTCTTGACAAAACTGTGTCCTGGTAGTTGAGTGGAAAGCTTTCCTGGGAGTTGGATGACTTTTGACGCATTGTAAAATTCTAGTATCTATTAAAAAAAAACCCACAACCCAAATATCCATTGCAGTCTTACAAACTGTGTTGTGTTTCTCTTCTCCGTGGAAGCTTAGTAGCAGTAAAGCTGACGTATCTCTTTATGACTTGACAAGACTATAATAAAAAATATGTTTTGAAATGTGTTAGCAAATAGGTTTAAAAATACGTTTCTGTGTTTATAAGCTCTATTTGGCTCTTCCTGTTACATTTCTTCATACTCGGTGACTGGGGAATTTGTGGAACAAGTGATTCAGGATGCTTTTAGGATCATTGGCTCAGTTTTAGGCATGACATGTGTTTATCTTCTGTAGCTCACTAAAGCTACCATATCCTTTCACATGGTAGATCCGTGCTGGCATTACTATAAAAAGATTGTCTTTCTGCAACTGTGATGGAGAAAGAAGTTTTTCCCCCTGAAATGTAAACGTAGGCTTTGTTGCTATCAACCAGAAATCCTTCAAAGTTTCTCTATGGCTAGAAGTACTTCTTCACTGTCGTTACCTGGTTGCTTTTAGGCAGCGAGTTCTTTTTGTTTTGGTTTGGTTTTTTTTTTTCCCTGGGGGCCAACTGAGTTACGAATGGCTGAATTTGTCAGAGGTGTTGGCAATTTTCATGTATTTTAGTTTGGTTTTAAAGATTGCCTTGTTTGATTGGTGGTAGTAAAGAAGTCGCACGTAGTGGTCTGAAATTGTCCTTAGTTTGCTGGGACATAGGCATACTTTCCTTTTGTGTGTGTGCACGTGTCTGCAAAATTGTGGAGAACTCTGTCCGATCCACATTTTAATTCAGCTTGGTATTTCTGCAATGTATTTATATGCTATAGACTTTGTAAACTTGCTAGGTGATAATTGCTTTACCCTGAACGCTATCTCAAGGCCTGCTTTTCAAAAGAACTTTATATGCCTTTACAGTTTTTGCTAATGTATTCTAAAATGTCTTTTTTAAAACTTCTCGGCTTTCATGTTTTGCCAGTGAGAATGAGGTTGTGGTTACATGGCTGTTTTAATATGTTCTAAAGTCTGGACAGCCGCTGAAGGGCCGGCTCCGCCTGCCAACTATTTCTACTGTCTCCCTGTAGGAGCACAAGGATGGGTGAGCCATGTGGATTAGGGAATTTACCCACCTGAAATCAAACCTTCCCGACTTTTCTCCCAAAAAGCGATAATTTCTGGATAAATCCATTCCCTGATCCAGCTTGCTGCATGGCTGCGCAAGTGCCGCTGCTAGCATGAGAGGTAGGAGGAGTGAGCACCTGAGAAAGGAGAGGAAAAGCAGGACTCTGCAGCAGCAGCCCGGGTTCACGTGGGATTAAAGTCACTCTGTAACCGCAGCCTAATGCTCCCGTGGAAGGCACAGCTGCTGCTTTGTGAATTACAGAGCTGGAAAGGCCGCCTTATTTAAGTCTTAGCTAATTTTCTGCTGTCTGAATGTGTTGATCCTCTGTTGCTTCATCATTTTAAGTCAGTTTACTGTACAGTGTGTGGAAAATAGATGTAAAGATTGCGTGATTTCTGGCTGAAATGGAATAGCAATACAGTCCTTTCATTTGTTGGGTCCCGAATTTAGTTTTTCATCGCTTTCAACTAAATTCATACTGTAAAAGGAATTGCCAAAATCGTAGGCTCATAATCTTCGTGTGCTCCTGATACAGATGCAAATACATGTACAGATACCTCCTTCTGTTTCTTTCCCTCTTCTGTCCTTGTGGTTTCTCCCTCCTTCCTTTTTCTTATTTAAAATACCTTCTCATTGTTCAGTCTCGCATGTATCGCAGTGTAATGTATCCCCTATAAATTCATTCAGCTTTTTTTTTTGGTAAAGCTACATTCTCCTCTCATTCTATTTCTGTCTCATTTGCCTTTCTCCTGCTGCTGCCTTGCCTTTGTGTGGTATTTTCTATCTTCCATCCTCTCATCCAACGCTCTGCCCTCTGAAGATTGTTCCCTCCTTCCAGTTTGTCAACTCGTATCTGGGAGGAAAACCGAAAAAATTTCATCTCTTCCCTAGTCCGTCCTTTACCTAGTTCTGAGCTTGTGAATTTTAATTAGTTCTCGGGCATCACCTCTGTTTCCGAGATGCTTTTGCATTTAACATTCAGCTGTACCGCTTACCCCTGCTAGGTTTGTTAAGCCTCTGTGTTTGCTTGCGAAGTGGGGAGATCTTCTTGCGGGTCTTCCTTAACAGTCCGAGCCCTTTCTGGTCCCAGATGCTGCTGCCCTGTCAGCTCAGCTGTCACTTGCTTCCGCTCCGCTGAGACGTAGCAGGTTAGACGTGGAGTATGTGGGTGAGGAACT